TTCTACTTGTGATAAAGGGGGAAGTCATTTTTTTATATATTTGTTTTCCTTTTCCATATTTTTATTTTTTCTTTCTTTTCTATTTTTCTATTTTTCTTCTTTTTTCCTGCACCTTCTTTTTTTAATTCTTTTTCTTAAAGTTTGTATTAGATTTTTGTTGTAATTATAATTTTTAATAAAATTACTGTTAAAAAGAAAAGAAAAGAAATTCGGGCACTTTGCAACTGACTGGCATTTATGATCATCACGGTGTCCCACAATCATGTGATTGTCATTTGCATGCTTCACAGCAGGCTTCTAACAAGCCAAGTGAATAGAGAAGCTGGCAGTAAAATCGCAAGTCATGGTCACATGATGTCTCACTTAATGAGCGTGGGTGATTCACTTAATGACCGCAGCGGAAGTGAACTTGTAACCCCCTTGCGGTCACGTGATGTCTTGCTTAACAACCAAGTCACTTAGTGACAGAGTCACTGGTACCAATTGTGGTTCTTAAGTGAGGACTACATGTATGTTAGAGCTTCCTGTGTGGTTAGCAATCCTCATAATTACGAATTTGCTCAGCAATTCAATTTCAAGCTGTATCATATAGGGTATGTTTGCCAGCAATAGTAAAGTACACTATTAAAGAATTAAAAGTAAAAATGGACACAGTGCAATTACACAGTGCTATGTAAATTATTAGATAAACTAAGTGACAATGTATTATTTTTTTCCGTAGATCTGATTTTCTCTTAAGATTTTGATATTATCCTGAGTAACTAGAAAACCTTTTCCAGCTGGCTAAAGATCATTTTTTAACTTCATTACAGGTATATAGGAATAGAAAAATCCCCTTTTACTTCTTCAACCTGAAACAGGAAAAAAGTGAGTTTTCATAAACCATGTTTTGTTTTTCAACAATTAAGTATTCTGGATAGTCTGTCTTTCTTTTTTACAAAAAGAAATCTGCATAGTTGTAGATCCCTTTCATATGATGCAGAATATTTTAAGGAAGCAAGCAAGAGTTCACTCTGAGAATATGTTAAATATGTTGCTCCTGCAACACATTAATAAGAACTTAACAGCCTCTGTTCTTCTAATAACTATTCAGGTTGCTATATCTTTTGTTAAAGAAACTGGTAATAAAGTTTAAAATGAGAAGTCAGTTTCAAATTGAGTAAACCTTCCATTTCTTAATTTCACAAAAGACAGTGTGAGTCAGTATATAAACATATACAAATAACACTTCCCCAAACTAAGATATTATTTGACACAAGGATATTTCAGACACATGCCTAATTATGTAATAATTAGGTTATAATTATATAATCTAATGGTATAAGTAACACAAAAATATAGTTTAGCATAAAATAAAAAAGCTGCCTAACAGTGTCAACCACTGAATCCTACTTTGGTATAGTACAATGAGCAGAGTTTTGTTTTTTTGTTTTGTTTTTCTTCCTGTGAGCCTTCAAGTCATTGTTAACTCCTGGACTAGCCCCTGCAGTTTTCTTGGCAAGATTTTCGAAATAATTTGCCATTGCCTTCTTCCTAGCGCTGAGAGTGTGTGACTGGCCCAAGGTCACCCAGCTGGCTTTGTGTCTAAGATAGGACTAGAACTCACTGTTTCCCAGTTTCCAGCCCAGTGCCTTAACATTACACCAAACTGGCTCTATGAAAAGAGTACAGTTTTATTATTTAAAAAATTGTTTAGGGAAACAATTTTATTTTATGTATTTATTTATTTTCATTGGAGCTCAAAGTAGCTTTACAATGAGAACTCCATTGTACTGTCGAAGGCTTTCACGGCAGGCATACGATGGCTGGTGTGGGTCTTCCGGGCTGTGTGGCCATGTTCTGGAAGTTTTGTTT